ATCATACCTAGAAATCTAAGTTCCTCAACGTTTTCTTAAACTCATAGAGTATTAATTTTGGAAGATTTGCAACAATTTGATATTTTCGAGAAAAGCACATTACTTTAGTTTTCACCGTAGAAAATTTCAGTCCTGTTTTTTTAGACCATTCTTGTAGGGAATTAATAGAACGTTAAATAATGTTCGAAAAAATAAGTTTTATATTGAAATACCGTGAAATATTCATACAACTAGAGCCAATATCTAAAGTGACATTCTCTTTTGTCAAAGACGTAAATTGCTATTAGAACAAAGCTTCCTGCTAAACACAACTTGTTTTCAGATTCACTTCACCTATCAGCAAAGATTGACTCGGTGCTCATTTACAATTTAATCAAGACGTTCCATAAAAGTAATAGAACACGTTTCTTATTCATAGGAAGTCATTGTTCTACAATTGAATCGATTTCTCATACCCACTTCTCAACCGATCATCCTCTTAGGTCTTATTCGCGTTTTACTACTCTGTTTTACGACTTACTTTAGTAGAGGAGCAGGAATTAGTTTTGGTTTAATGTCTTTTTTTTATTTGTACGGCGTTATTGATAGTTAAGGTTATCTTTACACTTAAATAAAAGTAATCTTAAATATTACAGTGGTTATCATGAATTTTATTAGCACTTCTGTTATATCTTGAAGTTTGCATGTAAGTTCTAAGCTAAAAAGGCGATAATAATAAGAATCGGAGATAATTTATGAAAAGCAATTCATTTTAAACCCTCGATTTTAATCGATAACGTGCAGTATGTGAGACTGATTGAATTTAAAATTTTTCATAACTTGACAACGGGTACGCCTCTTAACCTTTTGAGACCTGACTTTTTATTAAAAAAAAAAAAAATGTTTATGTGTTCTTATACTGTGTTCACTATTTAAAAAAATTACTGTACTTTTGTATGTACATGGTGTCCCAAATTGGTATGATTTAGAGGCTATACCAAAATCTAGAGGTTCAGATGTCATGACTTCTTTTTACTACGGTTACCTAATAAAATCATCAATCGCTCCCACATTAGCAAAATACAGAGCCATTGTTGATAAATGTTGAAAACGACAGGGATAAATATCTTCTTTTTTTATTTATTTACGCTGCAACCACAAGGGTTATTAGTGATCTAAAATATATAATACAGGTAAAGTTAGAAATTACAATAATTGCTACAGTCCTGAGTCTTTTAGATAAAATATTGTGTTTTTTAATGCTTATGTTGTTTCCTAAGGCTTTCATTATATTATTTGGGATAGAGTGCTTCCCTCTTGCTGCTTCATATGTTTTGCACCGAGTTAGTATATGCTTCACAAAGAGTGTTACTTGACAATTCTCACACATTGGCGACACAGTCCGCGCAAATAGGCGTTAATGTGTCAAATCACTGTGTCTCAGCCGCAAACGCGCTGTTGTCACTTGGTCGTGTCTATTCGCTGTGGTTTGGAGCCACGATTTCACTAATTGTTCGATTTCCTTTTGTTTACCTTGCGATGCACTCCATTTATTCCGCCACGCACTCAACACTTTATATTATATTTCAGACTTGAAGTCACCAGAAGAAATCTCATTAATAAGAATGGAGTCGTGGCTAAAGGATGCTAAGCGGGCTAGTTCATCTGCTTCTTCATTTTCCTGTATACCTGAATGTGATGGAATAAACATTAAGTCAACAATGATCTTATTATTCTTTAGAGGAATTATTTACTGATGAGACGAAATCTTCTTCCGACAATGAAGTTTTCATCGCAGAGAGTAAACCTTTGTGTTTGCCAAGTTTTCGTATTAATTTGGTGCTTTTGGTTTTCATTCTTTTGTCGATGTTGTATAGATGTGATTCCGTTAGAACCTGTATAAGTGCATGAGTCCTTTGAGTAAAGTTTTGTTAAGCTGATTATGTCTTTTGATCCTTGTGTATTTTCGAATAGATCCTCTACTTGATCGAAGTTTACCAATAGCTTTTCCCTTTCTGTATATTCTCGTACTGGTTCTAGTCATATTCGGAGATTTGTTATCTCATTTTGTAAGATTTTGTCAACAGTTTTGGTTTTTTTCTTAAATTAAAGTTTAGGTTTTTCAAAGTTTTCTTTGGCGGGTGGCGTGATTGCATCTTCTTTTTCCGGTTGCTTTGTTCGAAGTTATCTGGGGTTTCATGAGAATTCATTTATGAATTTTTATTTGGAGGTAAATGTCGTCTTATTTCGGGTTAGGTTGATTTATGTTTTTGGGTATTAGAGGATGATTCAGACGGAGTAAGTGTGGAGGAAGTGGTATTTAAGATTGTGGGAGTATTAGGTAGATTATCTTGTTGAGTATGATTTATTGATAAATTTTGTCTTATTTTTGTTTGCATTGCACTATCATAGTAAGGATGGTTAGAAGGTGAAATATTTGAATAATTAGTTGCCTGATGTCCAGTATATTTAAAACATGTTTCGTTTTGGACTATAAATATGCGGTTTGTTTCAATTCGATGATAAAAGATTCAGGTAGTACAAAGTTGTCTGGAAAAGATGAAACGAAAATTTGTCTTCGGAAGCTTAGAATATAACTGAAGGCAGGATTGGTTGCTCCTATTCATAGGTATGATATGTCTGAGAGAGGATCCAAATCTAGTTTTATTAATTCGTCCATTATAAAGTTAAAAGGTATACTTGGACATGCATTCGACAGAATTAAGCGGACTGACGGAGTTATTAATCTTCTCGCTTCTAGTATATTTCCATTTACTATTATCTTCTTTGTTTCTGCTATGAATTAATCTACTAGGTTTTTAGATGATAGATATATGCATATTTTATCGTTTGTACGGAAGGCTTAAATTAAATTTTTTAGTTCTATATGCTGACTCAATCCTTCAAGATAGTCAATAATTGTGACTGACTGGAAGATGGCTTAGAAATCCGACTAAAATCGGTGCTGTTTTACAGCGTTCTTATCAATATCAACAATATCTTCTTTATTAAGAAACATTTTTAAAAACATTATCAAAGCTTTTGATAGATATATTATGAAAGTGTTCAGTGGCGTACGGGAAAATTTTGTAGGGGTCTCACTAAGGAAATATAATACCAACTGTTTATGTAATACCTGTATGTTTTTTTATATGGGGCACCCTATATATTTTGACATTTTTCTTGCAATATCTTGCAATAAAATTTTAGCATTCGTAACCTTACATCCATAGTATTCGACGTACTACAATTACTAATATCGGGTTTAGTAAACAGATTTAGAGGGATAGAACAGAGTGGCACATTGTCATTATGTACATTTATGGATTCACGATTTAAAGTGCAGGGATTTTCTGATAAAAATGAAGCTAAAAAAACAAAAGAAATAGTTAAGCTGCTGGTTACTTCTATAATTAAAAAACAAGAAGATTATACTATTAAAAATCAACCAGTACAAGGAAAAGAAACCGATAAAGATGACTTAAGTCCATGGTGAATTTTTGATCAATTAATTTGACATGACTCATCCAAACGTACACCTGTATCAAGAGTCCATTACAATGGTGGAAAAACCATCGCCATGTATATCCTAACTTAACCACTATATTTATAAAATATTGTAAATGTGAACACATGCTCAAAATCTGGTTTAATTTTAAATAAAAGAAGAACACCAATAATACCAATGTGGAATGGATTGCCTCTTCTAACCCGGTCATTCTTTTTAACATGTAATAGGTTAAGTTCTACCTAGTTTCCACGTCTTAGATTGGCCGTTTGGGAACTTTGTTCTATTCTAATTGGTACTTTAAAAGCCTTTTTGAAGATAAGGTACTTTTTTTGAAATGTAATTAGTAAACTATTTGTTTCTTTTGTTCTAAACTAATATTTTTATTAATGAAAGTATCCATCACCTTTTGACACTTGGGTGGCGGTGGCAGTATGTCAGTACTTGTAGTAGAAGCAGTCGAAACGGACAGAAATGCGCCAGGAGAAGTTTTAATCATTGCAATATTCAAAAAGTGGACCATAAAAGCTGCATCTTCTACAAATGTGCATTTATTAAAAATAAAATTATTATTCTTATACTAGGTCAATAATTTTTACTAAGAAAAAGAATTCCTGATTGAATATTTACAACAAATAAATCCTTTGATGAACTATCAATATGAAACTCATTCATTATCAGAATACCTAGTTATAAAAAACAAAAGAAAGAGTTAAGAAGCTGGCTACTTCTATATAAAAAAAGAAGATTGTACTATTGAAAATCAACCAGTAGTAGAAAAAGAAACTGATAAAAATGACTTAAGTCCATGGTGTATTTTTGATGAATCAATTGGACATGACTCATCTAAACATACACCTGTGTCGAGAGATATAAAAAAGTCGACATGTATTTGTCTGATGATATATTACCCACAAAAAATTTAGAACAGAGATTGGAACTGTCCATTACAGTGGTGGAAAACTTAACCACTATATTCATAAAATATTGTAGTATTGTAACAAAATCTGTTAACAATATATGTTGTCTCCATCGGATCAATGTGTCTTGCTGAGGAAGCACCAGGGTTGGTCCTATAGAACCAATGCGGCAGTGAACGTGTTAAGATAACTAAAAATTGCTTATTTATCAATGTTGTTAAAATTGTAATATTCATAAACGTCTATCAGGGATTTATAATAGAAAAAAATATATATTGGTTAAACCATAAAATTCAATCAAAATATTTATTTAAACTTTTTGAAAAGATGACTGCTTACAACTTCCCATGTTTTTTTATTAATATGTTTTAATATATCTCATTAAAAGTCATAAACATCTAGTGAAACTTTACTGCATGAAAATAAAAACACAAAAAAAAAACACTTCTAACGAAAATAGTCGTTCTCATCGTGATCCCTACCAATTAGTTTTTCCATTTGAAATGAACTGTTCCAACTGTTACATACGGCAGGAATATGTATAATCAGATGGTGCGTGTTCCTGTAACATGCTTAATTAGGGTTCAACTTACCTGCGACTGTCATCGGCGCAGACATGATTTGGGTGTGGAACAGAGGCGCGTCAGCAGACACTTCGCATTGAAACAAACCCGAAATGTTTCGTCCCACCGACATTAGAGTCACGTTGTGGGCGTCAGACACACTCACCTGAAACAACGGAATAACATAATTGACTTAATTGGCTTGTACTTGACGATCACTTGTCAACTTTGAAGGCCACTTTGTCGCCTAAGCTGGGTTTTAATTAAAGTGGATCTAAACGTTGCTTTATATATCACAATATTCATTTTCAACTACTCAGTGTATAAATGACTATGAAGATTAATTTCAAAAACATATTTTTTTAAATTTATATCCTTACAATCTGTTTATTGATAAAATGAAATCCAAAATAATATTTTTTGTGGCATCTTGATCTGCTAATTTTATTAGTAAAGCTTGAACTAAGTCCTCTCACGCATAAGTACGTCTTATCATAACGATAATTGAACAACAATGAATTTGGAAGGGACAAATAAACAATTAGGTTACATAATCCAATTTATTAAAAATAAAAAAAAATAAATTAAAAAGAAAAAGCTTTACAACTAAAATAAATCAAAAATTTAATTGTATGTTAAATTAATATGCTGTTACTCAATATACTAATGTAAGTGGAAGCACAGAAGAAAAGTTTTCTTCAATTATAGTAATTGTTATTAGAATACAGTTTGGGACATACAAAAACCTCATTGTCGAATTCACAATGTACGTTTAATGATAAGATAAATCAGTCCTTTCATTTTCTTCTTTCTAAATGGAGAAACATTTCGATTTTCTTAAACATTAGCATTTTCTACTTTGCCCTCCATAAGCATGATATCCACTTTGCCCTCCATAAGGAGGGCAAAGTGGATATCAACTTCAGACAAAGTGGAAAGTAATAAATAAATAGGTGTTGTAAACGTATTTTATGATTGTGATGGAATTTAATAAAAGTAATGATTCAATGAATAGTGTGTAAAGGGGTAGTGAAGCGCAATATATGATGTATCCTGTTAGATCACACTGTTATCTTCAACTCCAAGTTGGTACACACCAGTAACCTGAGCAACCACACTGGAGATTGGGTAACCAACTCCAGTAGAAGGTGGGGTCAGAGCTGACGAAGAAGGGAGCCTTGGTCCTCCGATGAATAAGGGGTTGAGAGAAGGGCTAACCACTCTTTCCTATAAAACTCAATTGTTGCGAATACAATGTATAATGGATGGATCTCACAACGAAGAAATCAGCAACGAAAATAGACATAAGTATGGATTTAAAATTTGGAACCTGGAACGTGTGAACCCTCTTAAAGGCAGGAGCTATGATCAGTATGGCAACAGAAATTAAAAAGTACGGGCTTAAAATATTGGCACTGTAGGAAATCAAATGGAAGAGCCAGTGAGAAATTCATAAAAATAAGTTCTGACTATACTACTCCGGAAATAAAATGAGACAAGGTGAAAGAGGAGTAGGGTTTATAGTAACCAAAATTTCCACCAATATCAGACAAAATTTGCACCATAAGAGTTAAAGGTAGACTGCATAACGTGACAATGGTTAATATATATGCACTGACGGAAGAAGCTGATGAAGACGCGGTTAAAAGATTCTATGAAGAACTTCAGTAAAAAATAGCCAAATTAAAAAAATAGAATATTGAAGCATTTAAAAGTCCAACAAAGACACAAGAATATCAAAATACTCTCCAAATAAAATTCAACGAAATCAGAGAGGAAGATACCACAAGGAAAGAATGGAGACAATTAAAAACAATAATAACAGAATCTGCAGAGAAAACTGTTAGAAAACCAGTTTTCCATGAGTACAATGGAAATGATCAATAGGAGACAATATACTTTACGGCAGAGCAGCCCAATGAAAATCCAAGTAATAAAGAAGTAGTTCAAAAAATAAAGAAAATAAGAAACAGTCAAGCTCCAGGAACGGACGGAGTTTCGGCAGAATTGTTAAAACATGAAGGACCTGAACTCTGGGGAAGAATCCATTACCTGATAAAGTTGATATAGACCAAGAAGCAAATGCCAGAGGAATGGGTGGTTGGTCTTATACAGCCAATATATAAAAAAGAAGATAAGAGGGAATGCCAAAATTACAGATCAATTACACAGTTAAATGTAATATACAAAATCCTTTCTGGCATTATCTACACTAGATTCTCAGAATACTCCGAAAATATTATTGGTGATTATCAATTATTATAAGGCACTGAGGATGATCTGATTAGATCGAAAACGTTATGCTACTATATAAATTTTGACGACACTTTTTAAAAGTTTTTACTATTTTTAATGTTTTTATACCAAAATACAATTGTGAAGTGTTTTTACTTCTGTATGTTTTTTTAAACGATGGTATACAGCCAACTACTGGGATTTAACCATTAATTTTCATATTTTTATATTAGCTTTCAAAACAGCAAAAATTATTTCACTTATTCTGTGCTATATGGTTATTGAAATCCTTCAAATACTCTTCGCAGAGAACCCTGTACCTATATAATATGCAATTAAGACTAACAAATATTTAGAAGTTGTTATTCGAATCTCCTACTTTGATATGTAACTTTAGAACTACACACTTGTTCCTCGGGGACAATACATCTACAGCTTACCTATTACATGTGGTTTAATCAGGTTAGTTTTGTTTATTACGACCAGTAGAGAGCAAATAGCTATTTACTTGATTAAATTTAAGCCAGGTAGTAGACACCCCTAACTAAGGAGACATATGTTACGTTCGTCTTCATGTTAATGAGCTTACAAGTCCGCATACAAATATCCGTTATGCGGTTAGATGTAAGGAGCATCACAGTGCCGCATCCTTCTTATGGATGTTTTGAAAATTTAAACCCATCACGTTCGTTTACTTAGGAAGGACATCTCATTATATAAATAGATTATTTTCATTCACATTCGTATGGAAATTATACAGATATGTTTTTAAACGCCGTTAATGGGAAAAAATTAACCAAAAAGTGATGACATATGTCAGGTAAATAACTATTATTCTAAAGCGTATCGCTCCGTGAGTGACTGACGCGACACCTACCGCCTTCATCTGACAATTTCGGAGTCCCAATTTTCAGGTTAAACATATGACGTATGTTTGACATTGTTAAATACATGCGACATTGACAATTATTAATAAATTAGTTTTTAACTATATTTTTTCAGTTTATGTACAAAATAAATGTAGTATTAGAAACTGAGTTTCTCAAAATTCATCATAATATATCTTTTCAACTCCAAACGGAAAAGAAAGGGAAAAATCTAGTACTGGCAAATCAAGTTTTTCACGCAAAAGAGCATATAATTAAAAACAGTAATAGTAAAAGTTATGATATAAAAGCTAAAGTCATCTGCAGTTAGCTTGAAACCTTGAAATGAAATGAAATGAAAATGAAATATCATTCAAGGTAAATTATTTAAATTTTTGCTATTTCAATTGCATAAAAATGAAATTATGTTATATTTACTTTTTCATATTAATAGCAGGAATTTATCTTTTTCTTTTCTCTAATTTATATGTAATCTTTGGGAACCTATAAAAACTACACTCACTGTTTTTGCTACTATTAGTACAATTAAATACGCAACATGTATTTCCACACATTTTTGATAAAATTTATGCGTAAAAATATTTTGTCCAATATTCCAATTTTGTCATATTTCGTCAAAAACACATGTTTTTGACAGTTGCTGAACAGTTGTATTTTGAATGTTGAAGTTTATAGTTGTCAGTAAGTTAAAAGTATTGTAATATTGTTGGTGTTGAATAAAGTTAATTTTCAAGAAGTGTAACAGTATAATAATGTGCTTAAAAGAAGTCTATATCAAATGGATTGAAGTATCAAATTTAAACGTTAGATACAACCTAATAATAATCAATGTTGTCAAAACTTATATATATAATTATATAAGTGCAAGGCCCTTTGTAAAAAATGATTAGTAAATTTTAAGTTTACATAAAATTTTTCTTCTGTATAACATTGGTTCTAGTTAAACTTTTTTGTGAAAATTAGGTAAACAGCTTTTTATAAAGTGTTGTTTTTATTTAACTTTATCAATTACTTCTTTATAATTTTCTTGCCACTTGTCGATTAAATAATTTGATTAATTAGACGGAGTTTTCACGAACCTACCCCATCTTTGTGTATCTAAGTTAATGCACATTTTCACCAAATTTACCTTGTCTGCTACTACCCCAAAAAGTAATTTGCTAACGCGGCATTAAAGTTGTAAAAACTTTATTTTTCAAGTATTTTGCTACGCTCAGCTCAGGATTTATCACTGAAGTGTTCATAACTCCACTTTGATGTGGGTGATTTCGGGCCGAAGTTCTTTCGATATTGGAATTCTTTCGACGGTATCGTGGGATGTTTGGACCATGTTGGTTATTCATAGGTGGGTAATTGCATTGCCGAATGCAGTTTCCATTAAATTTCAATTAAGCTTTGCTTGCTCCAATTTGTTTCTGTATGTATCGATCAGACAGCAAAGGGAGATTAATGGATCGATTTTCGTGGTTTACACTCACCATCTACAATTACTTATTTAATTTAAAAGCTCTTAAACATTACTTTTATTTTATGTAAGTCCACGAAGATATGTTCTTTATACTTTATCAGGTGGGAATTTATTTAAAGTGAAATAAAGCAAATTAAATCCTTGGATAATACAGGGTGTGGCGCGACCAGTTTTGATTAAAGGTCGTGGCATATTATCATGCACGTTGCGTTTAGTTTCCGAAAAATATAATTTAACTGGTTTTAAATTTGAACAATTCACACTGTCCGGAACGTATCGTATCAGACACCTTACGTATCCATTCAGTATATTCTAAACAATATTTTACCAATATTTCTTCTTCTTTTTCTAGTTCCTATCCGTTTCGGATGTTGAGGTTGAGGTTTTCCTAAACCATGTTCTTAAACTCCGCAGCCATGATATTCTCCTTCTACCGGGTCCTCGCTTACCTTTGACTTTACCTTGCAATATAGACTGTAGCAGGGAGTAACGGTGCTGATTTCTCATAACGTGTCCCAGATATTGCAATTTTATGCGTTTGATCGTAAACACAATCTCTGGTTCCTTCTTTATTTTTCCTAGAACTTCCTTGTTTGTGATCCTTGCTCTCCATGATATTCTCAGCATTCTTCTATAAAACCACATCTCAAATGCTTCAATTTTTTTAATAGTGGTGTCTGTAAGCGTCCATGCCTCCGCCCCGTACAACAACACAGAGAAAACATAGCATCTCAAATGTCTCATTTTTGTATCAAGGGATATGTTGTGACTTTTGAAGATGGCGCTCATTTTGTTAAAGACCGTTCTTGCCTTTCCTATGCGGCACTTTATTTCCTGTAAATTGCTCCACTGTTCGTTAATAATAGTTCCCAGGTAACAATACTGTTCTACTCGCTTTATCTGCGTCCCATTAATGTATATATAAGCCCCGTTTATATTCTCCTTGCTGATAATCATTTGTTTCGTTTTGTGGGTATTAATGTTTAGTCCGTACTGTTGACTGTACTCGTTTATCGACTGTACTCGACTGTCCATTAGCCTCTCAAGTCCCTCTAAACTATCCGCTATCACCATGGTGTCGTCGGAATATCTAACATTGTTTACTCTTTCACCATTTAGAAGGATGCCTTCGTCTATTCCGTAAAGAGCCTCGTTAAAAATTTTCTCTGAGTACATATTAAACACCAACGGCGATAGGATACATCCCTGTCTAACTCCACGTAGTATTTTTATGCGATCTGTTTCTTCTTCGTTAATTTTCATGTATGCGGTCTGATTCCAGTAGAGTTCTGAAATTATTCTGAGGTCTTTGTCATCCATGTCTGCCTCTTTTAAAATGTTTATCATCTTTTGATGTTGAACTCTGTCACATGTCATAGTCGATCAAGCACGCGTGTACGTCGCAGTTAACGTCCCTGCATCTTTGAATCAGTACCTGTACTCCGAAAAGTGCCTCTCCGGTACCCACTGCGTTAATGAAGCCGAACTGTCCCGTCCGATATTTGTTCCTAGCACTTCTTATAAATTCTTTCATGGATGACTCTAAGAAACAGTTTCAACATATGGCTCATTAGGCTGATTGTTCGATATTCTTCGCACTTTTTATCAGGGATGATTCCTGTATTGTATATTTTATAAAGACAGCCGTGATCCAAATTATTCCTTCTTCCTCCAAGAGTTTTAAAAATTCAGCTTCGATATTATCAGGCCCTACAGCTTTCCTGCTTTTCATCCGTTTTATTGCTTCTTCTACCTCGGATTTAAGTATGTCCGAGCCCGTCATCCTCTCTGAAAATGGATGCCTATAATCCGTTCTTTGATCTTGAAAAAGTGTCTCCATATATATTGTACAGTAGTCTTGTAACCGATTGGGTTGTACATTTCCCATTTGGAACCACATGCCAAAAAAACCTTTAACTCTGCTAGGGAAAGTGGTTTCCAATCGGTTATTCTGGATTTAGCTGAAGTGGTACGACTTAAAAAAATTCCTCTGCGTAAATATGTGTTTCTTCTACAATGTGATTTAGTAATTCATCAGTTACATGCAAACTGAAAAAATCATATGGATTATTGCTCACAAGTGGTGGTACACGAAATCCAGGTATTCCAATGAAATCAATTGTTTTCAAATCAGGAGTGTTATTCCAGTCTGGAAATAATAATCTTGTTTGAGGGATATCATCATCATCGTCGCTAAAAACATTGTCAGGATCATTCACAATATCAGCCTCAACTCTATCGCTATCAGCATTATCATCCTCCTCCGACTAAGAATCATCTGATGAAACTACTAGATCTTCTTCTATACTTTCCCGCAATGAATCTGCTAATTCTTGCAGCTATTTACTCGACAATGTTATCTCCACATCACGTTCTCTACATACACGCTTCGAACTAGACGCTCCTGCAACGTCACCATCCATAACTATATAAAAAGACACAAAATTCCGAAACCGCTAATGCACGTATATATTTTAGAATATATCTCAACGGCCAACAAAAACAGAACTGGCTATATCAAAGGAAAGAGCTATACTAACTTGAGGCAGGGTTGCCAGGTGAAAATGTTTGTCCTCCCTAAATTGAACATTTAAATATCCCTAGAAATCCCTAGATTGGAATAAATGTATATATGGTTGCCTATTTCTGAATAAAAGTATGGGATGTATTGATAGTTGCCTAATATAATAACATTTATATAAAAAAAATTGTTGTTTTATAGCTTTATTTCATAAACAGTACAATAGCGATCATTTGAATAAATTTAACAAAAACGGAATAACGTACGTATTCTTTACATATTTACTTAATAAAATTAATACAAAATACAACTTGAAGAGAAATGAAACGGTGAAGCATATAATTTTATTTATTGATTTTCACGAATCCTGTAAATCACCCGATTCCTACTGTAAATCCCCTAATTATTTATTTTATAAAAGCTAGGACTTTTGTAAATCCCCTAATTCCAGCTCCAGAATTTGCTTCTTTCTGAAAATATATAGGAATCTACTTTTGACAGAAATCTATTTGGTAGCATAAAATAAAGATTCCAAGAACGTGGACAGTTAGCGACATCTGATAATAGAATCCTTAAGTAGTTTACTGTTATGCTGTTAGTTTAATTAGTTGTAATGAAAGATCGTGTATTTAATACTGTTAATACGAAGTGGTTTTATACCTGAATTAAAGAAAATGTTATTATAATAGGCCTATGTGGGTAAATATTTGAGCCGGATAAAATCCCTAGATTTTACACTAAATATCAAAAAAATCCCTTTGTCCCTTTTATACTGAAATATCCCTAGATTCGGGATAAATCCCTAGACCTGGCAGCCTTGACTTGAGGAAAGATACGTGCGATCGACGCACATGGTGCGCCGCGCCGTCGGCCTGTGACGACAATAGCCGATGGCGCACGGTGTGTGCTGTCGGCAATGAAAGTGTTAATGCAAACTAGACGCGATGGCGCCCCACGCGATGTGGGGTTATTAACTCAGTAAATTTTATTGTGTCTGTCCTATGGCTGCTTGCGTACCACCTTAATAATCGTCGCGTACCACTGGTGGTACGCGTACCACAGTTACGGAATCGTTGATCTAGGACATGTTTAAAACTGTTTCTGTGCATTCAATCTAAAACCCCGAAGATGTCAAATATTGGATAACAATCTAGTTAGATATGATCAATGAAGATCTCCTGTTACTCGCTCGTCATGGACGTATATATAAATATCTTTATTTATAAGTCCATAGATGATAAATTTAATTAAAGAATTTTAAGTCCATGTCGCTCGCGTTATTAACTTGATCAACAAATCTAAAAAAATTATTTAAAGTGTATTGAGATAAATGGTGAACATCTTGAATATTCTAGATACATAGGTTTATGTTATAAGGAAATAAAACCATTCTTCCAATAAAAACTATTCTTTTTCCTGTACATGCAGTTGGTTTCCTTTATGATAATGAATATGTTACGATTTGCAACACTAATTTTCTTTCCGAGTAGTCCCTAATCAAAATTTTATAGCGAAGTCTAATAATTTATTGACTTTGAAAGTTATGTAGTCATGTCGGTTCTGCTCCAACCAAAATTAATCATTAAATCTGATTCGGTTCTTTCTTGTCGCAGAGGTGTCCTCCTTGGCGGCATTCGGAACAGAAAACAAAAGAAAATTAAAGCAAAAAGACGACATTGACGCTGCTGCTCCTTTAGAGAATTCATTATTAATCACAATTCTCTTTGGCACTCCAACTAAATCGGGGGTTTCCAACAGAATTTCATTTACTTTTTGTCTTAATTATTAATTTTTTATTTGGATCGTTTTTTGGAGTTACTAATCGGTAACACAATAGGGTCTTAAGAATTCAAATTAAAAAATAATAGGTATTTTTATACAGAGTGAAGATAAAAGTTATGTTGTAGTTAATTATAATTGGTCGCTTCGAGCAGAAATTCCTCTATGGAATTTTTTTACTTACATTATAATTAGACTTCGGCAAATATGCAAATAAAAATGTAGAAAATATGCGCATAAATATGCACGTGTTTACCCGAAAATATGCAAATATTTTACAAAATATGCATACAAATAAATAAAAAAATCGTAAAATAGTAACAATTTTATTAAAAAAAAAAGTGTACATAACTAAATATTTCCTACTATTCATTAAGATTTACATTTATTTTAAGTAACTACATCATTTTAAAGTATGAATAAACTTATTTAGAATTATGGTAACAATAAATGACCAAGTGGTGTTCAAAATTTTCTAACAAAAACTTGTGGCTTCTGTCTGAGTACATATATTTATATATGGAAAAACTTCGTTCAACATCAACTGATGTAACGGGAGCATTTTTCAGACTAACCAAAACATTTGGTTCTAAATTAATTGTTTCCGAAATATTTCCAGCTAGAACACTGACTACTTCAGAAAGAATATGGTAACCTTTATTTTTTTCCATAGTAGCTTCAAATTTTTTTAAAATATCTTTTCCAATATTACCTCTAACGTTCCGACAACATGACGCAAATTCTTTTATTAATGCTGTACTTTCGAACAATGACAGTTTTGGTGATTCTAACTGAGTAATTGTTTTTTGAACAAAACTAAAATTTGATTTTATAAATGAAAGTTCTTGTTGAAGCAAGTTACTCTGAAAAGTTTGTTTAGAATCCAAAAGAGATTGGGAACTTTCATCTGTTAACGTATCAATTATGTTCTTTATTTTAACAAAATGATCTACATAAAAATTAGCTACTTCTAACCATGTTCCCCATCGCGTTAAAATAGGTTGTGGTGGAAGAGGAATGTTAGGTAGCATTTCTTTATAAAGTTGAATTCTTATAGGAGATTTAAGAAATACTTTTTTGACACTGGATATCATGGTATTTACAAGAGGAAACTTTTTTCGTATTTCCTCTGCAACTCTGTTTAATCCATGCGCTACACAAGTAACATGTATTAAATCTGGGAAAATATTTTTAAATTTTGTCCTGCTTTCACCATATAAGGAGCAGCATCCGATAAAATAAGCAGTAATTTATTAGAAGGAATAGTTGTCGGAAGAAAAAAAGTTGCTAATGTTTCTTGTATAAAACGCGAAATTGTTAAAGCATTTGTTTTCTCAAGTTGCTGGCATGAAATAAGATGAGATTTTGGTAAGGTATTTTCTTTAAGAACACCAATCAATAAATGAGCAATATACTTTCCTGAGGAATCAGTGGTTTCGTCTACAGATAGGTAAAAATAATTATCTGTAATTTCTTCCTTAATATTAATTAACACCGACGAGTATAGCCCGTTCACATTATTTCTTCTTAGAGACCGATCACTTGGAACATTAAGTTTGCAATATTTTTTAGAAACGAACTAAAATTTACATTTGCTAATTTTGAAAGCGGTATGTTTGTAGACACTAATGCGCGACACAAGTCTTCATTAAAAGTTTCTTGCTCATCTAATTTTTTTGAATTAGATTTGAAACATTTAGCCATTGAAGTTTGATGTTTTCCTCCTATTTTTTCTTTTTTTGCAATGTGTGAAGCAGTTCTCACATGTTGGTCTATCTGAAATTTCTTCTCACATGCTATCTATAAATAAAAATAAAAACCTTTATTTTAACCCAACCTTTAAAATATAAAAATATACAAGGTGTTTTTGGTTAATCAACTAACTGGTTTGGAAAAAAAAAAACACTCGCTAAGTGTTTTAAATGCAGTATTAATCCACAAATTAGTTTTTGTTACTAACCATTAGTACATCATATAACTTATTTTAAAATTCAACAAAAGTTTTTTTTTTGTTAATTCAATTTCAATAAAAATAATTGTGTTTTAGAATAGCTGACTTCATAAAAAAAGTAAAGGTGACAAATTTTTCTAAATATACACCATTGTATTGTACCATGGACAATTTTTTCTCACTAAAGGAAGCTATTTTTCATTTAAAAACAACCTACGAGTACTAAATTTCAAGTAAATACGTTTATTGGTTTTAAAGTTATTGTTGTTATTAACTAAAAGAATTTAATTTTTTTAAATTTTAACACCCTGTATCTCGAAAAGTAAATAAGTTTGACCCCTCATTGACTATATCGTTTTGTTCAATTTTTCGAGAAGTATCTACAGTCAAACGTTGTAAGTGTCATTTGGAAACACCCTGTATGTATGAAATATTAGATATTTAATAGAAAATATTAGATACTTACAATTTTGCCACAGACTGAACAGTAGATTTTTCCCATATCCATAGACAGCTCTTTATAAGGTTTAATCCAAGTTGAAGCACTGGTTGTTTTAGGCATTATAAAATCACAATCTTCCTTTTTGTTACGCACAACGAGTGTTTGCGCTTTGAATATCGAAACAAAAATGATTTACAAATCTGAGCATCAAATTAGAAATGTTTAGGTACCTAATTCAATATACTGGGAGATTTTGGAAAATCCCTAAATTAGGAACAAAACTATTAGCCGTTTACCTGCTGTTAAGATACAATAAATTGTAGATAGATTTGGGGATTAGATCATAAAATGCAAATGAGCGAACCCTTAGCGATTATAAAATAACTGAATGCCTCAGTGACCGAGACTTTCTAAGAATGTTGAGAGCTACTTAAATTGATCTTCTTTGAAATTGTAAATGTTTTGAACCTGTAGAGATTACGTACTTAGATCATTTCTTGATTAAAATGGCTACAAAAATTTTATACAAGAATTGAAATAAATTGGTATGTTTAAAAATTTTCAAATACAGTAT